AAAAAAAAAAAAAAAACTTTTCTAGAGGACTTTGTAAACAATACAGGTGATAAAATTCAAAAGAGATCTTGTCACAAAGTAGGAAGAAGGGCTACATTGGATGATTTTCCTGCCCAAAATGTTCTTTCATAGTATATTTGGGGAGCAAGGGAGACAAAGACTGAGAGAATCCTATTTAAAATTCAAGTAAAGTGTTTTTGATACATCACGTAAGGCTCAAGATAATACTCTGTGTGTGTGTTGTGCAAATACACAATGCAGCCAACTCCTCCTCATGGCTTGGTAATTTTGTTCCTTAATCTTGTTTTCTTCAAGGGTGGAAAATGCTACTTTTCCCCTCAGTACACACCATTGTGGACCAAGGCTGCTCTTAGCTTGTGTCTCACTTCCTTGAGAGAAATAGGTAGTATCTCCTGAGATGTGTGCTGTCATGATTATGATTAAGAGAATACACGAAATACAAATACCGTTATCGTACGGAAGATTAAGAAAATTTAAGTACATACATTACAGTAGGTAGGAAATTTTAAGCCCTATTATTAAGGGTGCTGATTGTATTCCTTGATATATCCAAAGAATATTTGATTTTATCTGAATCTGCCATTTAAGTTCTTCATGAAAAATAATTTTGGATCTGCTAGAGAAATTTTGGATTAACTAATAGAATCTCTAATTAGAGTGCTGCACAGAAACATGACTAGATATTGGGAAGATAATTTTCTTTGTTTTTAATAATTAATTGAACTATTTTCAGCGTAATTCTTTCCCTGCTTGCCTTAACTTTAATGAGAATTTCACTTTCCATCTGTGTGACATTTGTTTGAATTATTTTACATTCATCAGATGATTCACTCTTTTATGGGACAATTTGTGTTTTAGCCAACTAACATTTTTTATTTTAGCTGGTGAAGGTAGTAATTATGCCAAATAAAGCCCATGGCGAGTTAGGTGATTTTCATCCCTAGGAACAGGACACTCTTATAAATCCTTTTAAATTTGACTTCCAGCCTGGAGAACAGCTCCCTCCAGAGATGACTGTGGCTCGATCTTCCGTTAAAGAATCCTCCAGAGAAGGCACCTCTTCGTTCCACGCAAGGCAGAAGTCTGAGGTCTGAATTCTCCACAGTTGCTAACTTTTACCCTAAAACTTGTCTGTAAAGAGTGGTCATGTGACATCATTACAGCCTATCTTTTCAAATTTCTTCAAATTTCTTCATAGTCCTTCTCCCACAAATAATGTAAGGACTTATAAAGTTAAGTAGTCTTCCTCATGCCATAATTCTGAGTTCTCTTTAAAAGATGCTGGAGTAAGTTATGGATCAATTAGGCACTGTTGTAAGTTCATAGGCCAAATCATCATCGCTCTGTTGTTACTTTTTATAAACCTGTTTCTTGTCTCAGGGTGGAGCATATCATGACCCCCACTCTGATGATGGCACCGCCCCCAAAGAAAATAGACACCTGTACAATGATCCTGTTCCGAGGAGAGTTGGCAGTTTCTACCGAGGTAAGCCCAGCCCCTAGCACCCCCTGGGGTCCTCTCTCCCTTCCCCCTCACTACACCTCCAGCCCATGGCCTCCACAACACTTCACTGCCCCGACTTCACGTCAGTGCCATTCTTGTCTACACTGTCGCCTTCCAACACTTCTCTCTGCTTTGTGTCCCACTGTCTTAGTTCAGGCCCTCATGGCTTCTGAGTTAGGTTCTTTGTGTAGCCTCCCACCTGATCTCCCTGTCTCCCAGGGTTGCCATCAAACCAGTCCTTGGAATGATCCACTTGAAGCTGTGTTCTTCTGACCATGCCACTCATTCATTCAATTAAGTTATATTTATTGATGTCACCTGTGTACCTGGTACTGTTCTAATTTAGAACATGTCAATGAACAAGACAGCCAAAGGTCTCCACCTTCACGGAGCTTACATGAGAATGAGGAGAGAACCACACTAAATGTAATAATTATGTAGAAAGTAAAGGGTAATAAATGCTGCAGGGGGAAAAATAGAGCAAGGCAACTCATTGCCTGCCCCCACCCCCCGCCCTGCCCCCAGGCCTCTACCTCTTACCTGCTAAGAGTCCTCTGGTGGTTTCCCATTGACATCAGAACAAAATGTGAATTCCCTAAGATGACTTTCCAGACATGCCATGCCCTGGCCCTTGCCATCCTCTCTAGCTGCTGCTACTCCATCTTGAAACACACTCCTCCCCGTGCTGGGATCGCTTGTTCCTGTCCCTTTAAAGGTCCTCCTTTGAAGTCCTCTGTTGTATGATGTCTTCCCTTTCCACCCAAAGTCCAGTGTGTTCTTCTCTGTTCTACCCATGGTTCCTTGTCTAGGCCTCTAACATGACACAGACTACATGGTACTGATTCTTTGTCTACATTTCTCTCTCACAAGGTTGCAAGCCCCTTTATCATATTTTCCTCTTTTACCCTCATTGACTAGCACACTGCCTAGCAGTTTCCAAGTATTTGTTGTTGTTGTTGTTGTTGTTAATAAATTAAAAAAATGTTTTCAACATTTATTTACTTTTAAGAGACAGACAGAGTATGAGTGGGGGAGGTGCAGAGAGAGAGGGAGACACAGAATCTGAAGCAGACTCCAGGTTCTGAGCTGTTAGCACAGAGCCTGATGTGGGGCTCAAACCCACTTAACCATAAGATCATGACCTGAGCTGAAGTGGATGCTTAACCGACTGAGCCACCCAGATGCCCCTCATAAATATTTGTTGATTGAATGAAAGAAAATCTTCAAGTGCACTTGCACAGCCTTAAAAAGTATACTTCGAGGGGAGCCTGGTTGGCTTAGTCAGTTGAGCATTTCTGCTCATGCATTTCTGAGCATTTCTGCTCAGGTCATGATCTTGCGGTCATGAGATCAAGCCCCAAGACAGGCTCTGTGCTGAGTGTGGAGCCTGCTTGGGATTCTCTCTCTCTGCTCCTCCCGCACTTGTGTGTGCGTTCTCAAAATAAATATTAAAAAAAAATGCACTTTAGGGGTGCCTCAGTGGCTAGTCGGTTAAGCATCTACCTCTTGATTTCAGCTGAGGTCATGATCTCATGGTTCATGGGATCCAGCCCTGTGTCGAGCTGACACTGACAGCAGAAGTCTGCTTGGGATTCTCTCCTCGCTCTCTGCCCTCCACCTCAAAATAAATAAATAAAAACTAAAAAAAAATTTTTTAAATATACTTTGATGGTTAACTGGCAACTAAAACAGATGCTTTGGAGGCTGTATGGATTTAGGAGATGTTGACAGAGAAAGGGATCCTCTTTGAAGAGCTATGCAGTAATAGAATGAGAGCCCCTGCAGAGCCCTAGCCCCTAGTGGGGAGACTTAACAGCAAGCCCACCAGGGAAGGGGCAAGGTCCTGGGTGTTCCAGAGGCTCAGCTTCTTAAAGCCTCCAAGAGTCATCATGACCTTCTACAGTCGCCCCCACCCACATCTTTTGGCTTCTCACTATGCTGTTGATTTGGGAGGACAGCTGGAAAGGGGCAGGAATTGGGGGAGAACACAGACAGCTGCTTGGTCATTTTAACTCAAAACCTGAGCTAAATAAATGTATAGAAGTGTTATTTAGGACTAAATGTATGTTGATTAGGCTACTTGTTCCCTCCCACCTCCGCATTTGAAAAGAGCATAGGGCAATAAATATACCTTTAATGCACTCTGTTTTTTCTCATGCTATGGTTACTTTAGAATCTTAAGGGACTAAAATTTTAATTCAGGTTAAAGTGAGTTAAAATATTCTAGTGTATATGAGCAAATGCCTTTTCTTCTTTCACTGTAAGTTTTACTTCCAAAATGGACCATACCTTTGTTATTTCTATAGGTGTCTGGGGTATATACTTTAATATAAAATGTTCACAAAGTTTTGATTAATTAGGAAAGACAGTTTTAGTTTGATTGCAAGTAAATTAAATTGGTTCATATCAGCAAAGCCCCTCATTTCTCTTCCTCATAATCTACTTCAGGGTTTGGCAGGTAGAACTTTTTTTTTATTTTATAAAGTCCAGAAATAAAAGGAAAAGATTTAACTAGGTGAAACATCTGGAGAGATCTGTCATTTCAATGATTCTACTAAATCTAACTGGATGAAGATTTAGTGGTATCATTGAAATGACCGATGTTTCCAGAATACTTCCTGTTTTCAGTCCTGCTGGTCAAAAGTCAAGTGAAATGGTGTCATTTATCTTGATATTCAGCCTGTATATTTCTTTTGTGATGAAATTTGCAATATATTTTGATTTATGACCAAGCTTAGAAATTGACAGAAAAAGATGCTAACGCCCCCACCCCCACTGCAAAGGGCAGGAAAGTATTTACTCATGTATGTTATGGTTTGTCTTTCTGTTCATTCCTGGATTAAGAACTTAGAGGAAAATAGTATTTTTTGCAAATAACCGAATTTCTTTGGAATTTAGTTTTAAACAATACAAAATTGACTCTGCCTCCCAAGTGTAAGGCTTAAAGCACAGTTAGTATATTCCAGCACACATATTGTTAAGAGTCACTTCAGACTAAGAATAGATTTTGCATAGTTGAGTCTTGATGTAAGAAAGCCTCCACTTCAAAGAATGTCAAAACAGTGAAGCGGTGGGGGGGGCTGTCCTATTCATACTTTTAAATATCCTATGATGTTCCTCAGTTAATCAGCTGACAGGTCAGTTTCTGTTTTGAATGTATATTGCCTGACCTTAACTGACCCATGTGGGTTATGGTCCCCCCCCCGGGGGGGGGGGGGGTGGGGTGGGGAGGGGAATGTTCCCTAGAATGCCTCCACCCTCAGAAAACACAAAAGTTATATAAAGGGCAGAGAAGGATTTTGACTGACTGACTGATTTATTTATTTATTTATTTATTTATTTAATTTGTGTGAGAGACAATGCAATCGAATCAATTAAGAACTGCTTTGGCCAAAAAAGGACCTCAGTGACTGATGTTTTCTTTATTCAGTGCCATCTCCTCGTCCAGACAATTCTTTCCATGAAAATAATGTATCAACCAGAGTGTCTTCCCTACCATCAGAGAGTAGTTCTGGAACTAACCACTCAAAAAGACAACCAGCATTCGATCCATGGTGAGTATTCTGGTTTGTTTTTACTCTTTTTTCCAATTGTAGATTGGAGATTTCAAAGAAATCTGGAATACACTTTTTAGCTTGCTTTCTTTCTCAAGAGAGAGTGTTTGTTAAGGAGATGATGATTTGCCATTATTTGTAATGATTTATTTCAAGTTCAGCGTTTATATTAAATGTCATGTAAAAGAAAAATCTGCCGGGTCAATAAATGCCTCACATCTTCCATTGCATTCTTCTGATAGGAGTGATGTCCTTCACTGTCTCTTTCGTTGCCGTTGAATCACATAGCGGACACTTTGCTTAGCACTTTGTGTGCACCATCTCGCTTGGTTCTTACAGTTAGCCCTTGAGACAGGGGCGGCTCACAGTCTGTAAGTGAGGAAGCTGCAGCTTAGAAAAAGGAAAGCACTTGCCTGGCGCTGGACGGCCCATTGCAGGGAGAGGGGAGCCAGGATCTAGACCTAGATGAGGTCTGACTCCAAAGCTTGTACCTTTCACCTCGATGCCACCTGTCTTTCATTCAGGGTGAAAAGATAGAAATAGGGCAACACCTTTTATGCCACCACAAAAGCATAATGGTAGTCAAAGGTTAAAATGATGTGCCAGCTTTGCTTATCCTTTTATGTCCTTTGCGTCATATGTAGTAAAAAGGTAGGGAGAGAATTATTTTGTGTATTAAGTCTCATCAGCAGATGTGTTTGGGGAATAAGGACATTTTGTTTTATAAGCTTTTTTTTTTTTTTTTTAAATGTTTATCTTTGAGAGAGAGCTGAGCTGGTGAGCAAGCAGGGGAGGGGCAGAGAGAGAGAGAGAGAGAGAGAGAGAGAGAGGTAAAGAAGCCGAAGCTGACTCCACACAGTCAGCACAGCACCATATGCGGGACTCGAACTTACAGACCATGAGGTCATGACCTGAGCCAAAATCAAGAGTTGGATTCTTTTTTTTTTTTTTTTTTAAACATCAATGTTTATTTATTTTTGGGACAGAGAGAGACAGAGCATGAACGGGGAAGGGGCAGAGAGAGAGGGAGACACAGAATCGGAAACAGGCTCCAGGCTCTGAGCCATCAGCCCAGAGCCTGCCGCGGGGCTCGAACTCACGGACCGCGAGATCGTGACCTGGCTGAAGTCGGACGCTTAACCGACTGCGCCACCCAGGCGCCCCCCCCCTTTTTTTTTTTTCAACGTTTATTTATTTAAGAGTTGGATTCTTAACCAACTGAGCCACCCGGGCACCCCAAGGACCTTTAAAAAAAATAATAATAATAATGTAGACGATCCTGTCAGATTTCAACTCTGGTGTTTGTTGCTAGAAGCCATAGAAGGGTCTGAGGTCCTTCAGTACTCCTGACCCTAGGTGGTTGCGTAATTTTCACACTGCTGGCAGGGTTGTATTGAGGTCTTAGTGTTACTGTGCCCTATGGTGAAAACAATTTAATTATTTTTAAGATAATAATAAAAATGATGGTTTTAAAGCTGTAAATACTTTTATAAGCACAGTTTACGTCCATTGCCTTATTTATTAAATGAAAGTCTTTACATTAATGGCTAAGAGGTTGGACTCTTGTCTGTGTGACTTGAACCTCTGTCCCTCAGTCTCCTCATCTGTAAAATAGGGCAAAGAATACTACTTCCCTCAGAGGATTAATGTGATCATCAAATGAAGGAGAACATCAAAAGCACCTAAAGCGGTGCGTGGCACAACGTGACTTGTTACTGTTAGCTGCAGTAGTTTATATCCTTAATGTCCTCTGACTTCAGTATGACTTGTCAGGTGTCTCCCCTCCACTTCCTTTGCTGATAAACCTTGGTACGTTTTCTATGTGACTGTAGACCAGCTCTTCTGTACTACAACTTCTTGTAGTTACCAGCTTTGACAAGCCATGAGTGTAGTGTCTCTCATTAGTGAGAATACGGAAGTAGAGAAGAAATGGTTTTTCCTCTTGGTTATTGTATGATGGAGTGGTGATGGTTTAAAAGAGCATCAATTAAAGATTAACATGGTTCTATCAACAACCTTAGGTAGGTCAGATCAAAACAAAACCAAACATGGGATAGGCAGTATGAACAACATACTGTTTCTGTCTTTTTTTTTTTTTTTTAAGTTTATTTATTTTTGACAGAGAGAGACACACACACACAGAGCATGAGTGGGGGAGGGGCAGAGAGAGGGAGACACAGAATCCGAAGCAGGCTCCAGGCTCTGAGCGGTCAGCACAGAGCCTGATGCGGGGCTCAAACTCACAGATCGCAAGATCATGACCTGAGCCAAAGTCAGACACTCAACCAACTGAGCCACCCAGGCGCCCCTGTTTCTGTCTTTTTGATAGTCCATTTGAGTAGAGCTTGGTTAGACCAGGGTATATGTAGAAACCTGGAAACAGATTTTTTTTTTTTTTTAAAGAATTAGAGACATAATTGGGACATTGAACTTTAGACTTTAGACACGTCTTCAACGAGTCACCCCTACTTTGATTCTGCTGTTATGAGGCTTCAGAGAATTTCAGAATTAGCAGCTTGAATTGCAGTATTCTCTTGTTTCCACTGCCCCTCATGTTAAGACTGCTATGTACTTGTCCTTCGGGAGACTTACCTTAACTTTTTTGTCTTTGAACAAGATATCTCATTGGTTCACCATACTGTGTATATTTGAGAGAAACGCAGCTTGATAACTTACAAAAACGTGAACGAGCCTTGTTATGGTAACATAGTGACTCGCTGTTCCTAAATTATCACTTGCCTAAGGGCAGTCTGTTTCTCCTTGATAGTGTTACTTCACATTTCTTTTGGGAAGAGAATATTTGTACAGCGGACATGCTTCGTGCAATGGAAGAATCGAGTTACTAGATCATATTTTAGAGTGATAGATATTGTTGGGGTGTCTGACTCTTGATTTCAGCTCGGGTCATGATCTTGTAGTTCGTGGGTTCGAGCCCCACGTCAGGCTCCAAGCTCACAATGCAGGGCCTGCTTGAGAGTCAGTCTCAATCTCTCTCTCTCTCTCTCTCTCTCTCTCAATATGTCAATCTCTCTCTGTCCCTCCCCTGCTTGTGTGCCCATGCACATGCTCTCTCTCTCAAAATAAATTTTTAAAAAATAATCATGAAATAATAGATATCATAGTATACTATCCAGGGTAGTTATTTTGGCCATCTCAGCTATCCAGAATCCAGTTACAAACTGGGAGATAAGCCAGAATATCTCAGAACAAGAAAAACAGGGTTAATGCAGTCAGATTCATCCTTACTAATGAGAAAACACCTTCACTCTCCCTATAAGCCTGTTTACTCTTATGCACAGTTTTAGCAGTTGGCCCTGGAGGTTGTCATGCAAGAAATAATGCCAGGTAACAAGACAGTGTGAAGAGGGAGAAAGATTCCAAATAATAGCCAGGGAGAGGTGAGGGGTATTTTTGCCTTTTCTCGGGCTCCCAGTGGCAGTATCATTTTTAGCCCTTCTGGTTTCACATGTAGAATAGATAATGCATATAGCATATATATATATTTATAAAATAGGCTGCTCTTACTTTGCTTAAGAAAGACAAAGTGTATAAATACATTTGGAAAGACTGCTGTCAAAATTGGGTTTAAAAGTAATGTTTATACGGTAAACCAAATTAATTTGAAGTCCCAGTGATGAAGGTAAGCGAAGGATTGCTGTCACTTGCTTGCACAGTCCCAAGCTTTTTCTTCTGGTTAAGTTAGGAATATGTTGGCATCCATTATTGCTTGCTACCATAACTCAGAAAATTGTTCACTGATTATTTTCTTCTCAGACATCACCTTAGTCCCATGGCCAGGGGAGGGGAGGTAGCAGGGAATATCATGCTGCTCCCAGAGGGATTCTTCTGACGCGCCAGGATTCTGACCCTCTATCCAACCTGCCAGTGTCCTACCTTGAGTCTGTGAGCAGCTTGAGGTCACACTCCTTGTTTTCTTTTTCTCTCTGGCCCCAACACCTGACACCAGACCTACCACGTACACAGTGCTTCGTAAATGTTGGTTGACTTTGATTCAGTCAGCTTTCATTCCTTCCTTTTTTAGGAGAGTCTCTTGAATTTTCTCTTTCTTCTTCACCCCCTGTAAAACAACTGTTGTGTTAAATGATGTCAGAGCAGGGGGAGGTTGCTGCCCCCCACCAACTGTGTAATCAGCCCTGGATAACGGGCCAGGTGACTAGCTGGGTGGTCCTTCTCAAAGGTCCTGCCCCTGATAAGGATGTGACCACCCACCTACCCTTCCCTTGTACTGCTCTTCTTGGACCTGTCTGTTGCCTGTACCAACAGAATCATATCATAGGATCTGGAATTCACAAGTGAGATAAATTATGGGGACACACTCTTACTCATTTGTAGTAGTGCTGGTTGTAAATGATGAAGTCTCTGTCTTCATTCTTTTGGACAACACACAGCTTTTCAGGTGCCTCTGTTCCAGGCAGCTTTTCTCCGTGTCCACCCTTCTCTGAGTCTGTCTCCCAGGCTTTCTCCCTTGTTTCTCTAATTCTCTGCCATGTGTGTCTTTCCATGTAGCTTCTCCCTTTCTCTGTCCTTTCTCTCTGTCTCCCCCCAACACACTTGTGCTCTTTTTCTTTCTCTCAGACTTCCTTTTTGTGTCTTTTGTGATGCATGCACACTCATGCTTCACTCCTAGCTTTCATCTTCTAGTCCAAGAGTAATTTATTTCCTTTTCTGTTTTGGTCTCTGGAATCTTTCTCTGCGTAAATCTTGGCCCCACCATCTCTGCTCAGCTTCAGTCTGAAGATGTTTTCCTCATCATTCCCCCTTCCCCTGGGCTCTAGTTTATCCAGTGTCTCTGGACAGACCCTGCAGAGGGTCTCTGATTCATCTTCCCTGCCTTTTGTGGTCACAAGGAACTGCAAACCCTGGGCTTTTTGTCCTGCTCCTTCTTTTCTTTCATTACCCTTACGAGCCCCTTTCACTTTCATCTTACTGGATAGAGACTCTTCTTTCCCTCCCAAATCTGCTCCTCCCGGGCCTAGTGTCTCAAGCCTTCTCTTGCTCTCATGCCAGCATTAACATTCTCACCGTAACGCCCATTCCTGTCCTGAGCTTGCAGTCATGATGAACATGTCCCCCTTAAAGATTTCCTGGATTGGCAGAAAGCACTTTTACTACTCGGCATACCTTTGAGGTTTTGTTGGACTTACATTCTGATTGGTAAAAAATTCTGCCTATTAATCCGAATACTTGGCTGTGCTTCTAGGTTAGGTGCAGACCCCATTATGGAAGGATATAAGCTATATCATAAGCAAATAGTTCTTTGACTTCTGGAAGTTACAGGACAGTAAAAATATTTGTATTGCTGGTTGGTTTAGATGCTCTCTGAGGTTCCTTTCAATCCTGAGAGTTGTACTTTTGTGATTCCAGCAAACTACACTGTTTTACTGTTTACTTAGAATCAAACTTTTCATTATTCCATCCTTACCCATTCCATCGTGTGAGGTTTTGAAGTTTTCTAGCTTTCAAATTGTAAATGTATTATTCTGAATTCCGGTGCTAGTTATTTGTATCGGTTGTGTTGTATTATGAAAGTTTTACTTCAGAACTTGGAACTCTCTCATTGATGTTTAAAATTGCGGGTCCTAATGAGTTTCAGGAACACTTGGGCGTACAGTACGGGTTTTTACTTCCTCGGTATTCCCATTAACTTTTAAGCTAAACAAGAAGAGATGATCGTTGCTCTTTCAGTCATGTTTTCCTGTTTTGTTTTGTTTTTTATCTGTTTCTCTTTTTAAATCTGTTCTCTTTTTAAATCTCTCCCCTTATTGTCTTAGATCTTGAGTTTTTGATTTTTCAAATAAATTTTCTGTGGTTTGTCCAACCTTTTTATTATATCTGTAGTACATGTTTGATGTTGAAACTAAAAAGAAGAGTAATAGATCACCAGTAATCTTATTACCCAGAGATGATAGCTATTAAGATTTTATTTTATTCCTGCCTTAAAAAAAAAATGTGTGTATAGACACATATATGCCCCCCTTTTAAAATACAGTTGGGCTCACACTATGTAGGAAGTTTTGAATCTTGTGGTTTTCACCTAGTATTATAGTTTAAATATTTCTTTAGATGACTGAAAATTCTTTGAAGATGTGATTTATTTTTGATAGCTTCATGGTATTTTTTATCATGTGGCTCTGTAATAGTTTGTATAGATGTTTTCTGCCTTCACACAGATTTAATCAAGTAAAGGATGCTGCTTTGCTCATGCTGTCTTAGAAGTTTTAGTAACTTCTTCACCATTAGGTGTTCTAAAACCATAAATATGAATGCACTCTCACCTTTAATGCTTTACTCTTGATTTTAGGGAACAGCTAATAGAAGGAATTCAATCATTTTAGAAAATGGCTTTCCACAGTCATATATTAACATTTTAAGTAGAGCCCATGGAATGTGTCTTTTTGAACAACACCAGTTGGGTTGCTTTTTAAAGACTGCAAATTAAATAATACAGGGCCTATTAACATACAAGTCACCAACTTATTAGGGCCAAGATGTCCCGTTTGCTGTCTATTCATACCTTCTATTTGTATTAAAATACCTGGTGGTGTCAGTGCTATGAAGCTTAATGTTGTCAGTATTTTCAGTTAGAAGCTTTTTTTTCCAAGAGTGCTTTGTATTAAAGCATTCATCTTGTCTATATTTTTTTCTTACCTGATCTATTTTTCAATTTAGTTTCAATAAATAAATACAACATTTTTATAAGGGAATTTTCCAGTTCAAGGCAATTTTTGCTTTTATTTACAATGCTTTTGTACCACCGTTTTTTTGTTTGTTTGTTTGTTTGTTTTGCTTTGTTTTGTTTTTTATGTTTAATATCTTGGCAAGCCACTAATAATGAACTTGTTGAGTTGGTTTTTAAAAGGTAAATAGAAAAATGAAGATATTGAAAATGTTTCAGTTATTTCCCTTGGAGGGTTATGGAAAAGGCATCCTTTAAACTGTGTGCTTTTCAGACTCTCACATTCAGAGGTTTTCAACAGCATGAAAATGGTCCTGCAGCACAGTTACCAGATCATTTGTAATAATAGCTCAAAGTGAGCCTGTGCTAAAGGCTAATCATTAACCATGGTTGATTAGATTCAGTTCCTCCTGTGCTTTTTAGAGGCTCTTCACCTACGTGCTTGATTTTTCATGGCTGTTTGAATCTGGTTTCATGCATTTTTTAGTCTTCATTATATTTGTCATATAATGGCAGGAGAACGATTGAAAGATCAATATGATAAAAATGTCTTCCCATTTAGGAAAAGTCCTGAAAACATTAGTCATTCTGAACAACTCAAGGAAAAGGAAAAACAAGGTTTTTTCAGGTCAATGAAAAAGAAAAAGAAGAAATCTCAAACAGTAAGTAGATGGGTACTTTCTATATACAGTGACATACGAGTCTGCATTAGTCTGTGGGTACTTTACATTTTGTATGTGGCAATGAAAGTGAATTATTTTCTTATTGAGATTTGACATACATACATTGTATATGTGTCTTTCTAAATTCTATACAACTATTTTCCTCTCAAAGAGCCTTTTCCAGATTCCACAGAATCTCTAAGAATAGAAGAAATTTAATTTGGATTACAGAGAACACTTTAAACCTCTCTCAGTAAACACCTTATCCATGTAAAAAAAAAAAAAAAAACTATGAAGCTGCAGGATTTAGTTTTCTTTGGGGAGTAAAGATATGTGAAAACTTAGGAAATGGTTTTGGTTTATGCTTAAATCCTGGAAGTTTATAACTACCCATCATTCATTATTCTTCCCTGGCTGGTTTTCCAGTTCCCCTGTTGACAAATGCATTTCTGGGCTGCCTAATCACAGAGAGGAGAATAGTATTTGACATTTCAGGGCTTGCTTTAGTAGGAAGACATGTTTATCTTGTGACTGAACTGTGAAATGGAACGAGTCTTATCTCCTGGGAGCCCGCTGCCTGAACCAAGGTTTGGCTCCATGGAACCGTGCACATCACATCCCTGAGCCACCCAAGCAAGGATTCTGCTGGTTAGTGACGTGAGGAAACATAGGGAAGCGAGGCCTCCAGGCCAGCGGGAGCTTTCTTCACCCACGTGAGGCCTGCTTCCCCCTTTGCTTGTTGAGTCAGCTATTTTAAATGATTTTGTTTCTATTTCTACATCTTACATGATTGACTTTCATTTATTTTAAAAGGGAAAAAGATTCTAGGATTATGATTCATTGGTAAGTAACGATGAGATAGATGATAGTAGGAACAAGAATGGAACACCCAAAGTAAGGATCACAGATGTTTTAGAAGTATTAATAAAGATCTTTCTAGATTACCTTTCTAGACTATTCTTTCATTTGCTTATTTGTTAAATTGATATATTTCATTGTAAAATAAATGAGCTCATTGTAGAAAAATTGAGAAAAAAATGCTTTCTAATCTTATCACCCTATTACAACTAGCATTAAGATTTTGGTATATTTCTCCTAGCTTTTACCCTATGCATGTTTGTGGAAAGAAGGTGGTTTTTAAGTTTGTTTTAAATAATAGTAATCCTTGTAGTATAGTTTTGTGTCCTGGCTTTTAATAGTAAATATATCTATCAATCACACATACACACAATATATATTTTACTACACAGATCTTGTTATCTTCATTTTAATCGCGGCATAATATTCCTGAAGTGTTTAAAAAAGAAAAAAAAACACTACCTGTGCCTTTAACTGAAATTCACTTAAATCAAAATGCCACTCAAATATTGCTACATTTATTATTTACACTGGATGAATAAAATAGGCCAGATTTATTTAAAGTAGAGGAGCTTAAAATATTTAAAGTGCTAATAAAGTAAAACTTTTATCATTGTCTGTAGAACATACTTATCCATCATGAACGTTGAACTTAGGCTACCTCTCCTCACCACTGTTATTTTTATTCTGAGGATTTTGTTTTTGTTCTTAACCTCAGGTCTGTAGCCACTGTGGGGTAATTAAGTGGAAGAACGTAGCAGGAACCAAGGAATTGAAGGTGTTTTGTGTATAGATTTGGCTTTTGATGTCAGTCTGCATTAGACTAACATTAAACCTAAAGCCCCTGGCCTACTACGGCCTGAGTTGATATGTTGATTGACTCTGTTATTCAGGATCTGGTTCAAATTCTAGATTTTTAAATTTTAGATTTTCAAAAAGTATAGGTTAGTATAAATAAGAAAATTATTTTCTAACAGTCTCTCCACTTGAACTTACTTTTTTTAGGTTTTTATACATTTCATTTTTGGTATGTAATGTAACTGCAAAATATTGCTGTATAGGCCACTATGCTTTAAGCCTTCCAAGTCAAAAATTATTTGTGCCTCTGCATTTTTTAATTAAAAGAAAAAAAATTTTTAAGGACTTTGGTATCTAGAGTAAGATTTCCAAAGAGCCCTCTATATCCTGCCAGATCTCAGGCTCCTAAGCCTGGCATTATGTTAACTCTGTCTCTTCAAGTGAGTATTGAAACAGAATTAAAGGTAGTTTGTTTTGTTTTGTTTTTGTTTTGTTTTGTTTTGTTTTGTTTTTCACTTTCTATGAGTCAGCAAAAGGAAACCAGCTTTGAAAGATTTAAAGCTTTGTGGCATTTGCATAAGATTAAAAAAATAAAAAAGAAATGTAATGCCCAGTGCACATAGAGAAACAGGACATTTTAAAACCTCAGTGGGTCCTAAATCTAGTTTAACACCTTTATTTCACTGGTAGAAGACTACCCAGGCCAGTTGTGACCTGCCCAAAGCCACATAATCAGTTGGGAGAACTAGAGGTGGGGTCTTCTAAATAACAGGCCCAGACTCAGTTCATGCCACAGGCCCATCTCTGGTGGAGAGCCTCTGGCCACTGAGTCCTGGGAATTCTCTTGTGGTCTCCTTAGCGATGTGAATTAAATTCTTCCCTGGGATCCCATCATGGGAACAGAATCCTTCATGGGCTGTCTTCCTTGAATGGCTTCATACAAGGTGGTATGAATGCCTTCATATATATTCTCAATCTCTGACAATTGAGCTATCCAAAACAGGGAAGAGTGGTGCCAAAAAATAATTCTGTATTGTAAAGGTGCCTGCTTTGACTCAAGCAAATCTGGAAGCCGCCTTGGGAAATCTGGCCTCAGTTCCACATCCAGAGTTGCATAAGCCCTCAGAGCATATGGTGACTTTGCCAACTTGGTAATTGTAGCCTAGTTAGTTAGTATCTCACTTGGTAATCATGCGTCAATTTAAAGATTGAACTTTGTTTTTTCACTTTGAAAACCTGTATTCTGAATTGTGCCACATAGTTTCCATGGGGTAAATATTTCTTTAACACTATGGAACCAGGCTTCTTCCTCGATGGTAGAATCCTGTAACAGTGATAATTCCTCTTCCAAGTGATGTTTTCTGGTTCAACAATAGACCATGTTGAAAAGGGTTTGCAGTATCTTCTCTTTTTTTCCCCCCTATAGGCAGATTACATGGTCAATTATTTAGTTGCTGAAGTCCTCTCTAGCAATTAGGAAAAGACTGAAGTTCATCAGTAGCTCTTTAAACATAGTTCTTTATAATAATCGTATTTCTGATAATAAATAAATCCTTAAATGTTTTGTTAAGCTCAATGTGAATAGATATGTGTAAGTTTCTAGGCATTCCTACTATAGGTAAGGATCATGACCACATGTTCTTTATATACATTGAAGTTTTTGTAGGTCTTGAATTTACATTGTTGGCATCTTCATGTCCAAGTGAGAAATGACACAGAACTTCTTCTAGGTGCACACAACAGCACAGAGATTCCTTAAGTGACTATCAATATTTAACAGTATCAGGGCTTCCAAGGGCTAGGAGTTTCAGTAAGAACACCTTTTTTTCTTTTCTTTTTTTCTCTTTCTTTGCTTTTTCTTTTTTCTTTTCTTTTTTCTTTTCTCTTTTTTTTTCTTTTTTTTTTGCAATTAGTTTATTTGTATCTTATATTGCAGACAGATTCCACCAACGGGGAGAATCCAAGCATCAAGAAATCCCTCTTTCCTCTTTTTAATTCAAAGAATCATTTAAAGCATAGTTCTTCTTTGAAAAAGCTTCCTGTAGTCACTCCACCCATGGTACCCATTTTTATGTATGGTAGCCCTGAAAACTGCTCCAGTAAACTTGTTTTACTGATGACAACAGCATGTCTTATTTTCATGGGGTCATATTCTCTTTGTGCTAGTTAAGTACCTGAGCCAGTTCCATAAATTCACTGAAATACCAATTCTTCGCCATTCTGGATTTTCTGAATCAGTTAAGGAAGTTGAAGCATAAAAAGCTATTAAACTAGTGGAAGAACTAGTTTGGGTTGTCTGGTTACCCACTTGTCGGCAGATGGCATTCATAAAATCCCTTATTTCCTGTAAAGAATTTGATTAACATTTACAATTAACAGTGTCTTTTCATTTGACTCACAAAGTTTGTTAACACTTGGTTGGCAGTTTGTTCTTTGAAACCAAGTTGAGTTGACCAAATTGAGTGAGCTAGCAGGCTCCATGAAAACACCTTCTCTTGGTTGGTGATTTGCTTTTTCCTTGCCTGGCTCTAGCTTTTGCTGGTCACTTAGTGTAAAGCCAGGGCTTTTGCTTGGCATTTGGCATTATTCTGTGTTCACCAAAATCGGTGAATGGACCAATTGCATTCATCTGGAATTTGTGGCACAAATTTCCAGCATTTTTATAGTGTATAACGCTAGACCCAGATTTACTGGGCGGTGTCTTGGGAATATGATTCAAACCATACTTTTCCCACTTTGGTATCCTTGAAAGCCTGCTAGCCTTCTTTGGGCACCGCCAAATACAGTGTTTGGATCATTTTCCCAGCAGGAGCAAATTTTTGTTTTATTGAACTGGTTCATAACCTAACTGCAATATGGAATGAGGATACGACAGCAGTTCCTGGTACAGCCCAATTTAACTGCTCTCTCTTACAGCGACTAAAACTAACAGCATGGGAATGCTTTAAGGGTTGAGGTTTTAACAAAGCTGCATGACATCTGCCAATTTTTCCTAATGCAGGGAAAATTATTAAGAGGGCAGCAGAATTTAACTGGCATCACTTGCATTGTGAACGTCGGGAGAGTTTTGGTTTCTTTTTTTTTTTATTGGGGGCGGCGGGGTCGAGTTTCGGTTTCATTTGATTTGCTTTTGTTCTCCTCTTGGGTGTGGTTGCATATCTTAATTAGGCTTATTGGGGTTCTTACTGAATCTTTGTCCATATTCTGCTCTAGGTACCCAATCCTGATGGCCCTGATCTTCTGACACTACAGAAAGCCATTCACTCTGCTAGCACCCCGGGCAGCAGACCAAAGGAGTGGCGTCCTGACAAGATCTCTGATTTACAGACCCAAGTGAGCGGTGCCTGCCTCACTCCTAGATTCTTAGACTCTGCAGTGGCTGTCTCTCTTGAGTGGAGGGCAGGGTTGAGGAATTTAGCCTCTGTGTTACAACAGGCTGAGAGCCTCCTCAGAATATACCCTCTCTAATAGCCAGATGCATTTCGGGAGTCCAAATGAATCTTGTTTCAGTGACCCATGTTCTCATGGGAAAAAAAGTGAGATTCCATTAGCCTTCAGCTAGCCCAGGCTGGGCGTGGTGGGTGGATGTTGGAGGGGATTAAGAGGGATAATTAAGGTGTGGTCCCAGCCCATAAATACTACATATCCTAGAAGAGAGAGAGAGAGGATCTATAAATCATCATCATTCATGGTAAAAAGTGAGACATGCCATCAAATGCAGGGGAGGTGAGAGTGGGAAGATGAAGGTTTCATTAAATGTGGTAGCATATGAATTAGGCCTTGAAAGACAGACATGATAACCTTTCTTGAAAGAATAAACTTATGAAATCAATACTATTTTTGATAGAAATTGAGCAGTTGCATTAGGAACTGCATATCAGACAGTATTGTGCAATCACATTTACCTGCCATAGGGGGAATAAGCAGAAAATGCAATCAGTAAATTTTTTAGGTAACTGAGGTTTATCTCCTTTGAACAACTGTTTTGATTAGGAGTGTTTTAATATTGCATCTTTTCAGTATCCCATAATGAGCACAGTAACATAATCTAACTAGTTTTTTGATCATATTAATATTTTTATAAACCCAGTATTCCTCTGTACTATAATTTCTGATAGCCTCTATGAACTTTTGAGGCTCTAGGACTTCTTGTACCTATAGATGGCCACAGATTTCTGTGATTCAGAGGAAGAGGGTCTATTTCCATAGGTTTTTTGTTTACTTTCTTTAACTGTTACTTAGAGCCACTGACACAAGTTCCCAGATTTCACTTGCATTTGCCCAACCTTTTATATTTTCTGCTTCTAACATAGTATAGGCTGGGAGGAGGGAAGGGGACAGAGAAGGTGTAGGGAACCAGATATCCATGTTATTGGACATGTATCTGAATTAAGAGCACAGGGCTCTGAGTGAGGGCCTGACATCCTCTTCCCAGTTTTATAAAAAAGAACGTGGGGCTTTAGAACCTTCTTTGTGTAGCCATTTGTTTCACTACGAAGCTCTTTTCAGGTTACCTTATATATCCAGCTGGACCCAAAGTATTGTAATTGCTCGATAGTTACATGTGGTCAGGGCCATAAAAATCACCAGGAGTCGCATTGTGTTATCATACCAATTTCAATAACAGAAAACACACAGTGTGTACCGTACTGTGCCACCTTTCCTGGGGACCACAGAGCTTTCTCAGGCAGACTTTGGAATGGCCACGGAGGATGCTTCCTCAGGAGCAGTTTCTACCTGAGTCCATTCTCAAGCAATTTCCCTTTGATTTCAGTGCTCTGTTCCTTGAGATCATCGACATTTTATTAAAACTTTGCTGAGCCCTTAAACGCATGGCCCTTGAAGGTTGGCAGCCAGAGGTGCCCCAAGGCTAGGGCTACATCCTGATTGCAGGGTCCCTGGACCTTGAATTTCAGGATGCTTTCACATGCCTCTTCTGATGGTGAGCCTCATCACACAGCACTTAGAGGAGGAGAAGGAGTGAGCCACCTTTCGCCAGTGGGGAAGCCCACAGTTCAGCAGTTGCCTGAGAATAGTTGGCCAGTGTGGGGCAGATGGCTGCCAGGACCCTTCCTTCTGCCTTGAAGCACAATCCCCCTCCACAGTACAGCACCAGTGGGGTCTGCGCTCCAGCCACGCAGCAGACAAGCAGGGCAGCTCTTAAGCCCATGTTAGGAATCCAGAACCTCCTGTGAGGGAACTGTGTTTTAGCATCTGTAGGGCTTTTGCTCCTTTTTCTCTGCTTTGCTCACTTTTCAGTGTTCAAATCTTACCCTACCCCCCAAAAAGTAAAAGTGTGGAAAGGGAACGTTTAGATTTTTGCAATGTCAAGGGAAAGGGAAAATCGGGGAGATAAGAACAGAAGGGGGGGATATGCAATTTGTAGCTGAGTACGCTGCTGCCTAATTGAAACATTACATTTCTTCAGTTCTCTGTTGCCGCTAGATATGGTTGAATGGCTGAGTCCCGGCTTGTGAAAAATAAGTGGCAGCTTTATGCGGAGCTGTTGGGGAGTCTTCTCAAAAAGGGAGAGGCATGTTCCTTCTGCTGCTCCCTGCTGGCTGAAGCAGGAGATCCTTTCCCTGTGAAGATGGGATGCAGCCAGATAGAAGGTGCCTAAGCCTTTGATCCGCCACCACACCAGCTCTAGATTTCTTAGCTAGTTGTCATTAAAGATAAATAATTTTGATCTTATCTGAAAATGAACAGAAAGACAGATAAGGCTGGATTTAGCCCCTCCTTCCCCATGCCCTCTGTGCTGGCTACAAGCAGTCATCTCAGATCTGTGCTCACTTCTCGCAGCTCTCCAGTCTACTCTAAATGAACTCCTATGTGCGCTCTCCTCTTTTCTTCCAGAGCCAGCCGTTAAAATCACTGCGCAAGCTGTTACATCTCTCTTCAGCCTCAAATCACCCGGCTTCCTCAGACCCCCGCTTCCAGCCCTTAACAACTCAACAAGCCAAAAATTCCTTCTCAGAAATTCGGATCCACCCCCTGAGCCAGGCGTCTGGCGGGAGCAGTAACATCCGGCAGGAGCCCACACCCAAGGGCCGGCCAGCCCTCCAGCTGCCAGGTCAGATGGACCCTGGTTGGCACGTGTCCTCTGTGAGCCGGAGTGCCACAGAGGGGCCCTCCTACTCTGAACAGCTGGGTGCCAAGAGTGGGCCAAACGGGCACCCTTATAACAGAACAAATCGGTCTCGAATGCCAAATCTGAATGATTTAAAAGAGACAGCCTTGTAGTGTGCGCTGGGGTAGGGGATGGGGGGTAGGTAAGCCAGTGGAGAGGGGACGGGAGGGTGTGGGTGGGTGGGGAATGGGCTGGGCTGGGCTGGGCTGGGGTGGTCAGCCAGTATTTTCAGCTTTATGAAGGTGAGTGCAATATTGTATGTGTGGAGCCCTCTGGCTCCTCACGGCTACAAATGCTAGTCAGGGATCTCAGAGGCACAGGAGTTCCTTAGGGACCACCAGTCCCCTCGGATCTCGTGTGAGAATGGATAGAATGTGCCACTGAGGAAGAAGACATTCTTGCCAGTTTCTCCCCTGTACATTCCAGCTTTAGTGCAATCCCTGTTGAACTTGGGAAAGCCAGGGCATGTTCTGGTACTGCAAGGGATAGAAGAATTCATGTTGACCGATGCCCTTACCACAGATTTTTTTTGCCTAAACTAAACGTGGGGTTTATTGTAATCCAAGCATATCCCTTTGAAGGGTTAGCAGATGAACTAACTGTATGTCTTAAATTGTTTTCTAAACTCCCATATTTGATAGGATTTGTAACATTTATTTATAATTAATATTGTACTGTTCTAATCATACCTTTTATGTTAAATGTAAAGTTATTTTGAGCTGTTTGGAACATTGTGAAGCAGTGGGACAGCTACAGTAGTTTCTATAAAAACTAAACAGTAACATTTATATATTGCATCAGGAGTATTTTATTCTATATATAAATATATATATATGGTAAATATCTGTCTGTTTTCTAAATATAATCATTTAAAGAAAGTATCGTTATGACACTATCTGCCATATTTTTATACATTTGTGATATGAAGTGAGTATTATACTTCTAATCAAGGGAGTTGAATTGTGGCTCTGTGTGACCAACAGTGGGAACCGTGCTCAACTTTTAGGCCCCAGCAGTAGCCTCTAGACGTGGTCCTTGGTAGCAGATGAGATGCAGCATCTCCTTCCGAACCCACAGGCAAGAAAGCCAGCTAGGCCAGTGAGAGCTCAGCACGCCTCGTCTCCGTCCTCACGGTTGGCTCCTGTTCGCATCCAGGGACGATCCCTGTACCTGAGGGGAGAACAGATCCAGGGTGACTCATGGGTCTTCGTAGAGAGAATATGCTCTTCTCCTTCGCGTTAGTGTAGAGTGTAGACCAAAGATTTGCCAGCGAACATTCCTAGTTGCAAGTTCGTAAGAGGCACCTGTCTGCAGGTCTTGCAGACCAGCTCTATGCTCCTGAATCCTGTGCACTGTACCGGAGACTTTTGGCTGGTGGGGTGTGAGATACATGTGCGGCATTTCTATTTCTAAGTGTTTTGTTGTTGTTCTTATTGTTGCTGTTGCTGTTGCTCTTTCCAGTATATTTCAAAGGCTCCGGAAGCAATTCCAGATATAGAGAAAATTGCTGTATTCACTCTTTCTTCCTGGGACTGTCCATTTATAACAAGGTTAGCATGTACATCAGTATATACACACACACGGTCAGAACAGGACTTCTTTTCCTCATTTGATCTCCTTCAACTCCCAAGTTACTCCCAAGCGTCATCAAGGCCTTTCGCCAGCAAGGGTTATAGCCCAGTGTCTCTGGGCCATCCTTGACAGAAATCACCTCAACACCATCCATCAAGAGAATTAGATTTTTGGAAGTAGTGTCTTAGCAATAATATTTCTAAAGCTCCCCCATCCCACACCCCTCAAAGGGGTAACTTCTCAATATTTATTACTTGTCCCAGGATTCTGAGAGCATAAGCCCCTGAATCAAGTCAGGATAATTGAAATGTGCTGAGTTACTGTTCCCCCTCCCCCGAGATTTTGAGAATCAGCTCTGATGATTATGAAGATTATAATGAAAAGGTCTTGGTTTCTTTGAAGCTTAAATTGTGTGCATATTACATTTTTATATAACTACTATAATGATGTGTATTGATTATATATAGAGGTCATTTTAAGGTGCTTTTTATTTGGTTTTAATAAGTATAATAGGCACTAAAATGAAACTCAACTGGGTACTATCATTAAAACAAGTTGATTCCAACCAATAGTCTGCATGCTCTTCAGTTCTTTTTATATCTTGTTTCTTTCACCAGTTCTGTACTGTTGAAGTAGCTCTGAATTCTGGCTTTTCCCAGGCAGCTGCTCAGTTATATAAGTGACGCGAACCTTAGCAGTTTTCGCCTGGACACTAATGACTCTGAAAGGGTGTGTAACTCTTCTTTTTCATACTAAATTTGTACCTTGTATCCCCCCTTGCAGACCAGAAACTACATTTTTTCCTCCGGAAAGACTTCTCACTGTGCTGTGCGCTTAGGAACTGCGCAGTCACATTGCCATGCTGTGGCATTTGAGGCTCGTTGTCACCTAGGGGCTGGTTTCCCATGTTTTCATCCTTGCTAACACTGGGATCTCAGATGTTTGCAGAACATTTATATTCATGATGGTTCTTCAAAGAAGGGCTAGAATAATTGCCTTCTACCTAGAGCAAAGTAAACCTAACTGATGAAGAGTCAATACATACTTTTCGTACATTCCCAGATTTGAGCCAGAAAATATCTACAGTGTTTTCAACTAGTATTTTTGAGGTAGCTCTTTTATCCTCTTCTCAGCTTTTGTCCATTCTGACTTTTCATCGACCTCAGTAAGCTGTAATAAGTGAACTACAGTCCACACTTCTGGCATGTATAATTCTCTTCCTGCTCGCTGTGGGGGATGGTCAAGTTTTCTCTCAAATCTAATGGGCCCTCTCTTAGCTTTTAACTGTTGTTTTCCTCTGGTTGATGAATCATTGACCTCACAAAAATTGCCATCCACAATGAGAAGGACTTGATTTAAAGTCACGAAAGTCTACATTTTCTTTAGGAAGGGAAAGTTACGATGTCCACATTCTATTCTCTGCCCTTACTTCCTAAAGGATAGACTATGGCTGAATGAAGGCTTATGAATCACTTTGTGTTAGAGAAGTGTTGCTGATCACCTTTTGAAAAGAAACTCTGCTTCGCTCTTTTTCTACTTTTGCTCTGTCGCCATCCTCGTTTTTCTTCTCTGAAGCCCTGGATGAACTTTACTGAACCTTGCTTGGTCTCAGTCTGAAGGCTAGCCTCTTCAGAGCCCAAGATCAAAAGTGCTCCGTGCTAAGGAGCTCCAGTGAGTCGTCTCTGTAGCAGTGGTTCTCAGTCAGGGCCAATTCTGCCTCCCTGGGACGTTTGGCAATGTCAGGAGACATGGTTGGTTGTTATAACTGGGAGCGGTAGGGTGCCCCTGGCATCTAGTGCGTGGAGGCCAGGGATGCTGCTGAACATCCTGTGTACACAGGACCCCCCACAAACAAAGCATGATGAGCCCCAAATGTCAGTAGTGGGGAGGTTGAGAAACCCTGCTCTACTGTACTTCAGACCCACTCGTCTGCAGAGCTTGGCTCTGTCCTGGCTCTCTCCAGGCTAGGGAGAAACTGCGGGTATGAATTCTTCAGTATCCTAGTCTCTGAAAGAATCTTCCACCACTCTTTTTGAATCCCTGGAATCCTGTTTGTTTTCATTGTCTTGGGCCTGCTAAACGGTGCATTCTTTGGGAGGAGACCAGAGTGGCTTTATAGGTGTTTGAGAACTTAAATTCTAGGTCACCATCTTTAGAAAATCTTTCACAGAGCCATGAGGCTTATATTTAGAAGCAAGCAGCAGCCTGGCAGATTGGCATGATTTTTACCAACTGCTCAAAGGCATCCATGGCTTTTAGCTGTGTCTCCCAAAAGAAAATGTCATTGTTTTTTATTCAAGTCATTTAATAGCTCTTTACAAATATTGGCGTATGACAGACCGATTAGAAGCAAAAAACTCTTTACTGGTGGTTGTGATGTGGCTGTTACAGGAGTGTTTGTGCTGTACGCTTTGGTTAAATCTGTTTTAAAACCTGCTTTAAGATTTGCCATATGCAGTTGTGCTTTAATTCTAAGCTCAGAGCTGTGCTGGTTAGTTTCTAGTCGTGTCATGTATTATAAAGTATGTTGTGGTTGTAGAGTTAGCCAGTTTAGCATGTTCCTAATCTGAAAATTAGTGGACTTCGCTAGGAAATGCTATCCCATTTTCCCTTCCCAGCACCCCTTATCTTAGTTAACGTCATAGTATCCTCACTTCTTAAACTAGTTTTTAGAGTAAATAAGGAAAAAAAGCCATTTATTTTTCTTCTAGCTATGTATTGAGAATGACTCAATAAGTGTACAACTTTTTTTAACGGCCAGAGGGTTACTTTTCAAGTGTGTAGAAGGCTCTGTCCATTTCTGTTCACCAAGGTCCTGGTGGTGACCCAACTTTCAGCAAGGGCAATCAATCGCTCATTGCGACTTATTCCCAGAGTTCAGCTGGGACTCAGAAATCTGCATATTCTCTCCTGGTCACAACATTTTTTCTGGAGAGCACTGCTTTTATATCTAGAAGTTCGTTAACTCCTACATTATAGTGGGATATTGAGCTCCATGTGAGCACTGAGATCCACAGACTCATACTGTTGTGAGCTGGGGATGTGGTATGTGATACACTGAACCGAGTCAGAGCATATTGAAATATTTCCTTGCCTCCTTCAGTTCATCACTATTAAAGTGTGTAGGCAGAGAAAACTGATTTACACTTAAAAAAATAATAATAAATAAATAAATAAATAAATAAATAAATAAATAAATAAATGGTTTCTTTAAAAGGGCCTGCAGAAAAGTGTCCTGTTGCTAATCTCCAGGGCCAGAATCTCACAAGAACGTTCTCTCAGAGACTTAAAGAACCATCTTACAAAACAAAAACTTGTAAGTGGTTCTGATTTCTTCATTTTGTATCTTAACCAGCTGAGATATATAGAATATCTTGAGGTGTGACCCATCAGTTGGGTAAAAAATTCCGTCTTCGAAACCATAAGTAAATGCAAGAAAATGAGGCCGTGACAGGGCGAGTCCCTTGTCTGTCTGTCTGTATACACACAATGTGGTAGAAGTAAGGTGGCGAGGAAACTCTGGGCCTGCCGCCCTATTCTATTCTATTCTATTCTATTCTATTCTATTCTATTCTATT